CCTAAATACTCACTGCATTATACCACAAACATAAATATAGACTCTAAAAATCCAAGATTACACTACAGGGGAATAAAGCCTTTAGGCCTAATCCATATTGTAAATCTTGTCTGTAGCCCGGATGCAGACCTCGATAACCTACATCCAGTGGTTATTGGGGAAAGCTGCTTTGTACTGGTCAGTGCTGTAGTCAAGGCTGGAGAGTTGACCTATATTTGGCTGCTGTTCCTGTCTGCATAGCTAAAATCACCACTTATAGAAAAGATCTGCTGTCATATACTGTCCATTATTGCTGTAAGACTGAATTGGCGTTATGCATAACAAGAATCTATAATGATACAAGCACAACAAGTCCAGAATAGGAACAATTTTCCACATCTGAACAGGAATTCAGAAACTATTCTTTGAAATTGCAGTTTTCTTATTCTGTTCTGTCAGACGGATTTCACTGACAACACCTCTTTATGTAGCATTTTTCATTCATCCTTTAGTCTCCAAGTTATTTCTGTAGCAAGTAGAAAGTAGAAAGTGGCTGCTAATCCAACAGTCTTTCTGAAAACACACACAACACATGCTGTTGCAACAAGAAATAGAGAGACTTAAATGTAACCAGTTCTAACTAAAATCGTAGAGTTACGTCAAATAGAGTTAAGATACAAAAAGAGGTGTAAAAATAATAAAATACAACAATATGGATGAATTCTCTTGCTCAAGGACACAACTAAGCAAGCATTGGTCTGAGCTGGAATTGCCTTTGGGTTTGATGTAGACGACTCAAACCACTGCACTGTCCTGTCAACTGCACAATGACCAATAACCAAACACCTTATGGAATTTCAAAAATCTAATCTAATGACTTTTACATTAGTTTTGTATGCTACCGAAACTGCCATGGTTGTTTCAACTGCCCAAAAGCACAGGGCTACACTCTGAGTCAAAAACTACAAACACAAATATCATCTTCAGTGTCTTCATTGGATTACTTTCGTTGTTATAGTGACAATTTTATTTTATTTTTGTGCCCTTTAGGGAATGAAGGGATTTTTTGGCAGCACAAGATAAGCAATGGCATAAATCAGTATTAAATAACTATTTGATTATTACACACTACTCTCAGTCATATGACAAGGATGTTTGCTCTAAATAGATTTCAAAGGCAGCTTTTATCAAAAAAAGACCACAGATGAGTATCTGATAAAAATGACATGGTACTTAAAATTTCTTTAGAAGATTCCTTTGACTCAATCTGAAATTTATCACAATTTCGTTTTGCCCTCTACAAACTATTTTAATCATCCCATATTATACAAAATTGACTTTTGTGAGCTTTTAGCAGAGTTGGGGACATGCAAGTTTTGACTTGGACTCAAGTCAGACTTGAGTCACTATTTTTAGGACTTGACTTGATAAAATAGACTAAGACTTGGGACTCTACTTGGACTTGTGAAGCACTTTTAAATCTGAATTCTTTCTATTCTGACTGCAACGATTCACACTAAGACATTTAAAAAGGAAAAATTAACACAATTAATTTCTGCAACTCTTATATAAATACTCATATATAAATATACTATGATTTTTTTAAGTACAGTTGAGATTAAAGTTGAGATTTTCATTCACATGTTTGAGTAACAATTTGTTATTATTCTGTGTACATCTCCAAAGCTCAAAATACCCTGTTCCATCTTGTTAGCTCATGTAGTTTTAGTTTTCAAGTTAATAGCTACCTTTTAGTTTTAGTTTAGTAGAAATTGACAATTGGCCAGGGCTGAAATCATCTAAAAGATTCTAGCAAAGCTGTATGGAGCATAAAAACACAGTGGAGCAAATCCTGTATTACCACATAACATCACAAGTTGGAAAAGAGTGTTTCTGTTTGAGAGAAGAGAGAAACAACAACACAACATAGATCAGAAAATAGTGTAAACATGGGCTTGTTAAGGATCAATCTATAGGCATTCTTGATTACTGTAAAAATCAACTCTGAAAACATGTCAGAAGTTAGCCACTGTGAGACTAAGAAGTATAAAAGCGGAGGTGCACAGAATATCAAGTGTCCATGGCGACAAAAGGTCACATGGGTCGCTGATTGTCTTTATGGGCGACTGTATATTGTGGGAGAAGAGAATGGGATTGTGGGTGGGCTCAGGTGCGTTCAAGCGTCGCAGGTTCAAATCAAAGCCACAACCTCAGGTCACCCTCCTTCTGTCACCCTCCGCTGCCTAATAAAACCAGAATAAATCCAAGAGAGAGCTGTCCGGGCAGGTCATAACAAGGTGGAAAGTAGAGGAGGAAGTTTCTGAAATAACATTTGTTTTTTGTAACAGAGAGAGTCTATATCATACTTTTTGAACTAGCCCACTATTTTGCTTTTGTATGGTTAGCCATGTACAGCTAGCAAACATTTGTAGTTTTTGTTATTTATTTATTTATTTTTTTAATATGTGCCAGTGGAGCAGGCTGTGTCTATTTGATGTCAGCCATAAAATAGTTAATGGCAATGAACTGGTAAACTAAATTTTTCCTGTGTAATTTGTAGTTGCTAACATAAAAATATGTTGATCCTGCTTCAATAAAATTATAAGAATGTGTAGTGTAAAACCTCAGTAAGTAGTTTTCCCATAAGTAAACTGATAGTAAACAGTTTAATCATGTTATACTAGTTTTCATGTTATTTTCTATACATTATAATTGAACAGATATTTTGAAAGTTTTCATGCAACAAACCTAATCACAATGAATAAAAATTGATTTCAATATTTTTATGTAATTCACCATTGTCTCTAATTGTCACAACACTAGGTAAATTTCATAATGTCCAATCTCTCGAAAAGGATCTGACTTAGAATATGGGCAGTCAGCAAAAATGTTTAAAGTTTAAAGTGGGATGCCTGAGAAAGAGGGTTAAATATGACCAAGAATAGAAGAAGCACTAAGGAGTTATAAAATATTCAAGAGAGATGAACAACAGTGGGGCTTTTTTTCAAAATGGATGACGAGTGACGGCAGGTCAGCCATATTAGCAGCTTTTACTGACCATCGCTGTGGTTGTTGATTGTTGTATTTCCCACACTTTTGCCTATACATGAATGAATTGTTTCTTATAAAAGTTAATAACAAACAACTGCAAAAACTCGGAGAACGAGTGCATGACAAATGATCAGTTGAGAAGTAGAGGAACTAATGGCTGATGACCTCAGCAGATATTTTTAGGCTGATATGTAGGGCTGATTTTGTCATTTTCCTCTAATGATCTAATTAGAATTCAGTACGAACTCATCCGCAACCTTGTTTTACTACAAACTGTGTAGAGAGCAGTGTAGTCAAATTTTTTGCAGTACCCTCTTTACTAAAGTGTTCAAATAAAGATTTATGCATATATTTTTCATGCATATGTAAGCAGCTTTTTGGGCCAAACAAAATATCGGTCTATCTCTATTGAGAAGCTTATCAGGCTGTGATTGTCTGTGACAGGAGGTGGGAAGCTTGAAAATAAAAGTGTTTTTCTTGAAATTGCACAATTTTGTAAGTGAAAAACAACTAGCAAACCAACAACAATTTGACAAGTAAACACTCAAATGAATACAGCTAATTCATAGGGAAGACACAAATTGTTATTGCATTGAAATTTGTCTTATGCATCCTTCAGTGCTTCCTTAAGCTCTAGGTTTGGTCTTCCTCAGCTGAAGGATTTGACCTGTTGGGTATGCTTTTGCATTGGGTAACCTCTTTTAATCCCTCTGTTTCTTCCTTTCCTATAGAACTCTACTCTCTTCTTCATTCTCCGTCTCGCGCACTACCCCCCCCACCCCACCCTCTCTCTGTCCTTTTTCCCCTCCTCTTGCTGCCCTCTTTCTTCCTACCACTCCCTCTTTCTCTCTCCCTCTCTTGCTCCCTCCTCTCCCTTTTTCTCTTCCTCTCTTCCCTCCTCTAACACTCCGTCTTGTTCCCCTCCCTCTCCCGCTCTCCCTCTATCTCTTCCCTGACAGGCCTTTCATCAGTGTGTACATGGGCTGATGCTGTGCTTACACCATCTCGGCGCTGCATCAGGATTACACGGCACATGTGAAGAGCCATGTCCTCCTCCGCTCACTCCAATCAGAGCTGACACACGGCACCAAGCATGTGTCTCCATGTGCCTCTATGTGTCTCTGTGTGTCTCCATGTGTCTGTGTGTGTCTACGTGTCTGCAGTGTGTATCTGTGATGGCATGTCTACCACACTGAGGGTAACTTGTTGACTTGAATGATAATGAAGCTGCAATGGAAAGTAGCAACATATTGTACGATGTATATGGAATAAAACCACAGCAATATACATGTGTGGGGTCTAGGACTTTAAACAGGATACTCAATTCTACTGATACTGGAAATAGCACAAAAATGGCCCCACACCCCCCATATTTCGCACACTGCTTTTGGTAAAACATATAGTATTTGTCTGGAAATGCATTCAGGACCTCAGGAATGTATTATAGAAAGTTGAGTATTTTATCTGTAAATAGACTTATTCAGCAATCAAACTTAGTGGAAAACTATGCTTTTGATAGTTACTCAAAATATAATAGAATTTAGTTAGTAGTCCAGTGGTTGACGGTTCAATCCCAGCTCCATCTAATGCATATCTTTGTGTCTTTGTTAGTAAAATCACATTTCTGATTTTATAATCTCTTACTTGCCTTTCCTTTGAGTTTCTTTGAGACATGTCTGTCATTGAAATGAAGTTGTCTCCAATTTTTATATTTTATGAGAAGAAAATTACTTTTATCAAGGCATGGATCTGTCTATGAACACTTACTTGTGACCCCTAGTGGCTGTTTTTCTTATACCAAGTTTCACACAGTAGTTGCAGAAGTATATTTCAAGACATCCCCCTCTTGTTTGCAGTAGTTCTGTGTTTATGCATGTTCTCCCTGTCTTCCACAACAGCATTTGACATGTTGGCATTGCAAGTGGCTCCTTCAGAATAGTAAGAGTGTTTTTCTTATTCTTTCAGGAGGTATGCCAGTGCCTGAGGTGGCGTCTGACACTGCCTGTGCTGCCACCATGTTGAGTCCCGTCCTGAACGCGTCCAACGGAGACGGCTCAGAGTCCGAAACCACCTCTGCTATTCTTGCCTCCGTCAAGGAACAGGTCAGTACTGGGCAGGGAGGAAGAAATTTGAAGAATGGCATTTTTTCTGAGAAGTAAAATGATTTCATCGTAATGTAATAAAACATTTTCAATTTTGATTTGCAATTTATTTTTTCAAAAGCAAGATTCAGTTCACATTTTAGACATGTCCAAAAGCATGTAGCATGAACATGAACATGAACATGAACAGGTAAACTAATACAAAAAGGACATGGCATTTCAGAGGGTTAGCAGGTTTAATAAGACTCTTTGGAGACAGAACATTTTGTTATTTGCAAATAGCTACAGAGTTGGACATCTGGACCAGTTAAGTTGAAAATACTTCATCTGTAAGAGGCTTTCTCAATTTGATGACAGGCAAAACTATTTTCTTAAAACCTATAGTCCATCATTTGAAACCTCATTGCAGAATGAATGAGGGATTAGACCAACATTTAGCAGAGGTGGGACCAAGTCATTGTTTTACAAGTCTCTATAGTAAATCTCTGACCTCAAGTCCAAGTTAAGTCCCAAGTCATCTGCTTTGAGCTTCAAGTCATTTCAAATCTTTAAACCAAAGTACTAAATGTATGTATTTATTTTTTGCAATTTATGATTTTTAAGATAAATTGTACTTAAAAAATCTATGTATATTTATATATGTGTATTTATAGTGTATATAAGAGTTGTAGAAATGTAATTTTTTTCCTTTTTAAATCTCTTGTCAAGATCTTAGTGTGAATCATTATGGTCATAATAGAAAGAAATCAGATTTGTAAGTGCTTCTCAGACCTTCTCAAGTCACAGGCCTCAAGTCCGAGTCAAGTCCCAAGTCAGTGACCTTCAAGTCCATGTCGAATCCCAAGTCTTACTCAGTTTTATCAAATCAAGTCTCAAGTTCTAAAAATAGTGACTCAAGTCTGCCTCGAGTCCAAGTCATGAATTGCAACTCTCCATCTCTGAAATTTAGTATGTAGATTATATCATATTACTTACTACATGATTACAGCGTTTTGTTTTTTTGTTTTGTTTTGTTTGTTTGTTTTGTTTTTTTTTGCTAATTGTGATTTTGACTATTCTTTTTTCATACCATTATGATTTCGCCTTGCAGCCTGACTAAATGTATATGTATGTGTGTTTTGGTGTCATGCTTAATGAAATAAGATTAGCAGGCGGGGGACTGTAGTGTGTATCATGCCCCCCAGTGCTTTTAGGATAAACAGGGCCCAGGGTAAACAGAGTGATGGAGGTTCTCTCTGAGCTGATGTGTCACAAATATGTCGCCTGCACATTTTGAGCTGTTCTGGGATCCACCCGCAGGATACAGCCGCTCCATGTCATCTGAAGAATGCTCTAATGTGGTGGAGGCATCGTTTCCCTTCACTTTCTCAAAATCTGTTTTTTAGACTAATGATAAAAGTGCAGTATCATCTATCCTTGTGGGTTTTACCTGCAGGGGGTGCTACGGGGAATTGTCTTCTTTGGCTTGCAGTGTGCAGTGATTTTAAAGGAAAGTCATACTGAGATTCTAACCCCATAGACACTATATAAATATTAAATGTTATCAAAATGTTTCTAATACAATGTTTGGTTTCCTTGGTTACACAAAAGACCACCAAAGTCCACTGTTTTCTAGCTGCTCTTACAAAAGTTGATATTATTTTACAAGACAAGCCCAACCCGTTTTCCTTAACCAGTACAAATTTGGGCCTAATCTTAACCACACACAGAGCCCACAGCAACACATTCATGGATAAAATGTCTATATTATTTGTATTTATGCAATTGTAGGCTATCTTGACCATAAAATATTTGTGGCAACATGTTTTAAACTGTTAATTTCTGTATGGAAGAAGAGTAGCGCAAAGACAAAGATACTTAAAAAATAAGGACACTTTAAGAAATGTATTGAGGATTAAATGTCCAATCTTTGAAGTGCTAATAAGTGCAAACATTGAAATAAGCTTTTAATGATGTTTAATTGTGAACTGAGGCAAAAACTGCTTAATTTGCTTTTAAAGAGTAAACTAATGAAAATGGAGAGGGTCATGTGGGTAGAGGTGCGTCCTGGTGAAGGTCTGCGGGGTAGGGTCCTTTGGGTGAAGGTCCGCAGCCAGACTCTCTTGTTAATGTCTGTTGTATTTCATGTTTTAATTAGAGAGTTGTCATTGGAACATATTTCACATTGGAGCTGATAATGAATTGATGGTCCAACAGATGGCGTGATAGACTGACATGGACACACTTACAGCCTATGCTGCTACCAAATGTGTTAAACTAGGACTTACACTCTTCTCTTTATTGCTTTGACTTGGTAGATCCACATAATGGTATTAAACATAGCTATCTTTTGTTTTTATAGTTCAAAAACACTCTACTTCATTTATGTTACTGTAAGCAGGCTCATCTTTCTTCAGATCTGACCTGTTAACTGCTGTCTCCATGGAATATGTTGTTGATGCTTTAAATTAAGGTTCCTTGGTAAAGCCATTAATAAACACTATTCACTGTTTTTGGGTATGTTTAAACTTTTGATTGGAATGAACCCAATAAAGCATGTGTGCAGATTTGAGAGCTGGACACAGTGACATGCATATCAAGCAGATATTGAAAAAAATTTATAAAAGAAAATTGTTTGTTGTGGACAAATTATAGAAATCTTATTTGTGATGGGAACAATCAGACAAACCTAGTCAGTTAGAGAATGTACAGTTATCACTGCATTTGAGTGTCAAACTACTTAATAACACATTTTGATTAAATCTTAAATTGACATTCATGATGTCTAAATGCTCCACAGATGGGAAGCTAATGGTACACTGAAATAGTGAACTGTAAATCTATCAGTTATTGTCTAGGAGGAAAGGCAGGAGAAGAAATAGTTTAACACCACAATAATGTATTTTATATGTAACATGATGACACATCACACCTAAATATTACACAACTATTTAATGTATAGGGAGCACTATTGGACTGTGAGCTCATCTAGAGCTGGGATCTGCTTGGGTTCAGGGATCTGCTCGAGTCCTGGGTAGGTCTTGAGTCCAGGAAGGATCTTGAGTCCAGGAAGGGTCTCATATCCTGGAAGAGTGGAAGAGTCTAGATTCCTGGAAGAGTCTTGAGGCCTGGAAGGGTGTAGAGTCCAGGGATCTACTTGAGTCCTGGGAGAGTCTTGAGTCCAGAGATCTGTTTGAGTCCTGGGATCTCCTCGAGTTCTGGGATTAGAAAACCTGATATGTTTTCATTCTATTTGTTTAAGCCTAAACTTCATCTTAAATGAGACCCACACCTAAACTGAGTTTTCCTAGTCTTCTACTATCTTGGACAGTAAGTAAAAGTACAGATACAGCCGTAGTGAAGTAATAGTAAGAATGATCCAAATTTACAGTAAAGTAACAATACCAAAAAGTCTATGGAAGTACAGTACATTACTATGTGTAATTCATTACTTTCCACCACTGATCTTGGATTTAAACTAGGGAGATATATTGACTCAGAAAATTCATGACTTTTCTCAAACACAGATGTTATTTTTACAAAGGTTGAGCTGATATACCAGTCACTGCAAATGGTGCCTACAGTACGCCCTTGAATACTATAGGGTGTTAAGTATAGCCGGAGAAAGGCACTCTCGGATGGCACAGGATAAAAATAGAGGTAGAGATGCTGAGAGTGGAGAAATAATGGATCCTACATATTTTATTCCTATATTTGAAGTAGGTCAAATACATATGCATCTATATGGTGTTTTCTAAAGGCAATGAGACAGGAGTTTTAGCTGCTTGATGAATGATGGGACAAATAATTAGTCACTCCACTCTGCCTCTGCTGGAGTCATTTTACTCATAATCTGGCAACGCAGTGAAGTTATTTATTCGTCAAGGCAGCCATTTGTCAAATCCCCCCCATACTTGTTTACAGTGAGTAATATTTCAATATTTCTATTTTTGGGCTAATGCCAAGGTTGTTGTAGCTCGGCTTGGGAGGCACTATTTACTGTTCGGATTGTGTCAGAAGAAATATGCACTGCACTGGACATTTGGCTGTGTTCAGGTTGAAAATCATATTATAGACTTGATACATGATCAGGCTTAGTCAGCATTTTGGGGGAACTTTATAGCTGAGGTTGGTGCATCATCTAGTTTTGATTGTTAAAGGGCCCGTATCATGCGATTTTTTGATCCATGTTATAAAGTTGTTTCCTCATCACAAACATACATAGAGTTGTTGTATTTAACACACAATCTCAGCATAAGCTCAGAGTTAGTTTCTAAAACATGAAACACCCCTTCCACCTTGTGATGTCAGGTGGTAATACACTAAATGCTCCACTGTGTTTTTAAACTCCATACACTTTCACTAGAATCATTTGGATGATTTCTGCTCAGGAATTGCCAAACTCTTAGCCAGGCTGGCGCCACCTAGTACCTCTACTCAATTTCATTTCTCTCCAGCGACTAGGCCAGGAATCAAAATACACCAGATGGTTTGCAAGAATCCTGGATAATCAGCGAAGAGCTGTGAAGCCATGACGTCAAAATTGAGCTCCTGTCTGGGTCCTTTTTGTGGTACAGCACAACAGTAAACAAAGTGGTTGAGATGAATGTAGACAAAACCATACATTCTGTGTTGGCAACGATTCTCATAACTGAGGATTTAAAGCCGGAACAAAGAGAATTTTATCAAGGGGAAAAATTGCCCTTCTTCCTACAGGATTTGGTGCATTACATACGTCACGACCAAATAGCAGCGATTGGTTAAATAAAAAATAATACCCGCCTACTATTGAGCAAACGAATCCTAATGCTGACGGTTTCCATGAAATCAAACTGACTGATGAATTAGGCTACCAAATTCTGTCTGTTAACCTGAAAACTACTGCTTCATGACACCTCAAGGTGGAACACAGCATTTTGAGGTTTCAAGTTGTAGGCATATTCATAACAAAGGATTACTCAAACATATGTGAATGAAACAAAACACAACTCCAGCTATGTTTTTGATTAGGTAACAGCATT